CCCCTGCCTACAAGCCGGCGCCCGCCTATAAGCCAGCTCTTACCTACAAGCCAGCTCGCTATTAATTGAATGAGATGCGATGATTTGTGTGGGGAGCGGTCAGCGGAACAAGATAGTAATATTATTTATAGGCTGAATTGTTTGCCAAATACATATAAATGCTTGATGAATTTATAAATATATTATCATTCACCTGCGAATGTATCATGTTTAGCAACGAATATTCTAATTCGTTACTGATATTCAGCGAAAAGAACTATTATTGCGTTTTCATGAACACTGAACAGCACAGAAATATCACCAGCCAATGGAAGTTCCGAAACTGTAACGAGAGCAGCAGCTAACTATGAAGTACTCGGCAGAAGCACGAACTTAATGCATTGGAAAGTTGCACACTGCACAACCAGTCATTCATCCATTCATCCGTTCATTCATTCATTCATTCGTTGTGGTATTTATAAGTATTGGCTTCCATTGTGCTTTCCCCTTTATCATATGAGCATCAGCGTATCAGCAGTCAGCATTCCATGAAGCCTGGCATGGTTTCGATAAGGGAAATAGTGTACATCCAAATTAATCACAACTGGTTGAAGTAGCTATTGAAGGATCGGCTCTCCAAGTCAAATTCGTAAAACTTTCTTTTTCTCGCACAAGATACATATAAGCCGTTTTCACGACGAACAACCTAGCGAATGCACCAAACTTGACCAAATCTGCACCAAATCACCAGCTTTACGGAGTGGAGACCACTTGGTTTTCGAGTTACCTCTCAAATCACTATCAGCGTGTCAGACTGTGCACTTCCGCTGGACGTCAACGCTTATCCAATGCAATCAGAAATATAATTGGCGTCTATCAGGGCACCTCGCGCGAACCCCTCTTGTACACTTGTACAGCCCTCTGCAAACTGCGTGGTAGGTATTCTTTTTTCGACAAAACCGAGAATAACGCGAATACTATGCCATCGGTCACTCGGAAATCGTAACAGTATGACGCGCGAGACTTCGCACCTTAGATTGGCATTATCATCGTGTTCATTTTCTATCCAGTTTGGCAACAAAATCCAAAAGTTTATATTTGCCCCAAAAACAGACTTTTGCATTTTGTTGCCACACAAGGCGTATACTTTGTCTAGTGATAGACCTAATCGAAGAAGTGGAGCATGGCGCATCTATTTGCAGTGAGTTTCGACCGACTGATAACATAGCCTTTGAGTTATCACCGGTTTTGTCGAAAAAAAGAATACCTACCACGCAGTCTGCTGAGGGCTGTACAACATTTTCTCCAACAATTTCAGCTTATATGTCAACAGCGATGTCAACATCACGCAATGCGCCAATGAAACACAGATCCTGGTCACCGGACGTAAATGTGACATTGCGCAACTCGTTCAGCGCATGGAATCGGCTCTGTGCACTTTGCTTCTGTGGCTCGCTCTAAATCAGATGAAAGTAAACTCTAGCAAGACTCAACTGATTGTACTCGGCACTCGTCAAATGCTACTCGGTCTTCCAAAAATGTGTATCAATGTAAACGGTGTGATTGTAGAAGAGATTCCGCGAGTCAAAAAATTAGGCAAATGGACAGACACTTGACTTACGAACCGCATGTCAACCAGTTGGTAGCGAAGTGTACTGGCTTATTGGTCGGCCTCAGTCATGCAAGACATCGTATCCCCCATGAGGTACTACCAGCGCTCGTGTATGGACTAGTGATCCGCTATTGCATCTCTGTATACGGAAACTCTACCGCTCACTCATTGTCGCGTGTGCAGAAACTACTCAACTTTTGTGCAAGAGTGGTCTCAGGGCGGCGTAGACGTGAGCACGTAAGCGATATACTGGCTGAGTTGAACTGGTTACCTGCCCAGGGCCTCGTAATGTACCGAATATTGTGTTTAATCAAAGCCGTCCTGACCCATGGACAGCCGAGCGGCTCTGCTGGCCTGTTTCGTACCGCGCTGAGTGTGAGATTGAGGTCGACCAGACAGGATGACCTTCTTGTTTTGCCACGTGTCAAAAACCGAGTCTGGCAAGCGAAGGTTTGCCTATCGAGCCCAAGATTACTTTACTACTCATCGAGCCGCCAGCGCGTTCAATGCCAGGCCGCGCGACATTAGGGAGACCCGCATATCGGCGTTCCAAGGGACCGTCAAGAAATACTTGAGCACGGCGCGGCGGTAAACGCACATATATGTACGCAAACGGAGCTTTTATTGTGATCTTAGAACGACCACTTTTGTTTTACATGTTTTAAGTGTCTTCTACCCAGATCGTGTCTTTCACCGGTTGAGTGTCTTTTGCCCATATTGTAGACGCGAGCACATGAAGAAACAGTGATTGTCTGGATTAGCTTTAAATATATTCTGATTCTGATTCTGAATCTCCTTTGCAACAAATATCTTCTTGTGATGAGTTAATTTCACTGTTTTAATCAAAAACAATGTCTGATAATTTGAAAGAAAAATTCTGATTCTGATTCGGAATCTCCTTTGCAACAAATATCTTCTTGTGATGAGTTTAATTCACTGTTTTAATCAAAAGCAATGTCTGATAATTTGAAAGAAAAATTCTGATTCTGATTCGGAATCTCCTTTGCAACAAATATCTTCTTATGATGAGTTTAATTCACTGTTTTAATCAAAAACAATGTCTGATAATTTGAAAGAAAAATCAGGTATTAAGCAACTGTGCTACCCAAACTGATAACTTCTGAGAAACACAATGAACTTAATTTGACCAATTCTGCACCAAATCTGCACCTAATGTGCACCAAATGTGTACCAATGAGCCGTCGTGAAAACGGCTATTAGGGCAGACATGGCACCAGTGATAATACCCCTCAGACCATCAGCAGATCCAGAAAGGCGACCTTGGACCCCATGCGGGGCTTACCCCCAAACAAGTTTCTCCAATCTTCAAAATCTAATCGAATTTCGATTTCGTATGCACTGATGTGCAGCTTAAAGGGACCCTCCCATGTTCAAAAAAGTTAATGAATTGGCATAAAAGTGATGTCGCTCGGTTCAGAAAGAGCGAAAACGAATATCTACTAAATTTCATCGAAAAATATTCACCGGTTTTCAAGATATTAGACTCTTACTTTTGTTTACTTTTTGGGATCTCCGCTGTTCCTAGCGACTTTATTTTAACCCTCGCCCGTAAACGGTGTTTTGCCACCTTCGCCCATGCAGGGGGGGGGGGTTGGTGCGACCCCCCCCCCCCTGGCGTTTGAAAACGGAGCGTCGTAGAGCTTAGCGGAAAAGACCAACGGATTGTCTCTCAACGAGATCTCGCGATTGGTGGTATATTTTTTGGTTCCTAGGTCAACATTTGACCTACTTATGACCGGTCAAATGTCAAATTTTCGGAAACATCTAACTTTTTTTCAGATTTCCGCGCCGATTGCGGCACAACGGTAAGAGATATCGACTTGAAACCTTCACTGTCGTGATCCTTGATCAATCCTCTATCGTTTGGTGTGTATTTCGATGTCATAAGTCTAAAAATGATGCGTTGGGAGCATCGGAAGTCTGCAAGGTAATTTGTGCATTGGGTCACGTCAGGCGTGTGACGTCACTGACCTGACCCTGACCCAAAATGAACTACAAGAAACAACCGACGATGCCTGAAATGGATAGAAAATTCGAATTCAGGGCATCAAAATACCCCGAAAAGACATACAAGTGCAAGAAGTCATTACAGGTCAACCAAGGTCACTGACCTTACCTTGACCTTTAGTAACCTTCAAAATGTCAACGGACATTGTGCCAATGTCAAATCAGCCAGCTGTGATTCTAAAACAATCCATCAGTGTGTCAGGTCAGTCGGCATTTATACCAATGTGAAGCAATCTCCAATTAAGCGTAAATCTGGCCGGAGGTTGTTCCCTTTATGACGTCATAACTCCGTGACCTGACATGACCTTGACAAAAAAAATACCAAAAGTTGTGCAAAGGATGCCCCATAGGGTACTGAAAATTTGAGCAGGCTATCTGAAACGGTTCGGCGTGTAGCTAAGAAAAACCTCAGGGGGGGGGTTGCACCAACCCCCCCTACATGGGCGAGGGTTAAAGTGCGACACTTGTTGCGCGCAAAGCAGCATATGCCACCGCGTGCTGCCAAACGTTTTAGTAAAAGATTTAAAATCGTTAGATCTGCACTGACGTTACACATTCAGAGGGGGCATTCTAATGCATTTGCCCCTCTAAACTCAAGTGCTGCAACTTTGAAATTAGATATTTTCGATTTGAGGCATCTCTCGATCATGTGAGTTCTCAAACCAGTAAGTGCAAGCCAGGGACATCATTTTGGATATCTCAACTCAAAACTTATGTTAAGGTGGGATGGTCACTTTAAAGGAAAACTTCCCTAATAATACTTGTTTTGTGTTCTCTGTTTATCCTTGAAAAACCATACATTGTCCTGGACTTTGGGCGCTGCGGGGGGATGCATTTGCCCCAAATGACCTCCCCCTCCCCCCTCCCGGTCCCCGGATCCGCCAGTGCCTTAGACCAATAAGTGTTGGGTGGTAACAGCCATTTCCAGCAAATGCTCCTCCAAATGATGCTTAGCTTTATGAGGAGATCGGTGAGGTTTAAAGAAGTTTGATAGAAAATGTGAATTGCCATAATACACCAAACATTATTCAAACGTCAAGTCCCAAAGACTCGAGCTTGATTTTTAGCTGAAACCCTCGAGACATTTGCATCTCAGTGGGCTTATTTTTTGCGCCTTAGAGGAGGTTGAGATAGAAATGTATCCGTCGCCGCCCTGGCGTTTGCAAAAAAAAAACAAAACATGTCATAGTGTGTAATGGCGGGCTGTATTTTCGTCTGTTTTCGTCTTGAGTGCGGCTGAGACTCGGCTGGATGAACAGTCTTTCCCACCCGTAAATAATTTCCTTGTCTGTCCATTAAGTGGCTGATGTACGCAGATTTAAGCATGTGTTTATATCAAACTCCCTAATTTCCGAAGACACATTCTTGAGCATTTAATCACATATATTTACGGCATTCTTATTAAATAAAAAAAGATATTTAAAGTTTTACACGGAGGAAAAAGAAGAATCTTAATGATGACCAGCCTTGTAAGCCGGGGCGGCGTGATGCGTGGGATAGGCGGCCTGTCCATCGTAGGTGACCTCGGCGTTGTATCCACCGTAGTGGTCAGCCGTGTACTTGACGTGCTGGGTACGGCCGTCGGGCAGAACCACCGAGTAGTAGCCCTGCACGTTGTGACCGTCGCTCTGCTCGTTGCGGGCGAAGTTGGTGCCGGTGTAGTGGTCGTTGACGGCATATTCGAAGGCGAATGGCATGGCCTCCTCCTTGTACTGGGTCTGCGGGTGGTGGAGAGCCGGCTTGTAGGCCGGAGCCGGGTGGTACGGAGCCGGAGTCGGGTGGTACGGAGCCGGAGAATCGGCGGCGGCCACGGCCAGCACGGCGGCGACGAGGAACACCTGAAACATGCAGATTAGTGCAGTCAATATAACGGCTGAATTGTTTTCCATTTTTGTACTCATGATAAATCATCATACACAAACCGAAACAGGTAAAACTCCAAAGCATTATCATATAAAATCGTAATAAGTTTAATATTACATCTATGGCATATGTACAATAAATAGCTCACCTTCATGCTGATTGGTTGGTTGGTTGGTTGGTTGGTTGGTTGGTTGGTTGGTTGGTTGGTTGGTTGGTTGGTTGAACGAGTGTGCAGAGTAACTGGTGCCGACTACCACGGTCAGACACCTTTTATACAGCGAGCGGGCACCCTCACGGTCTAGGTCACGGCCTGACCCGCCGATAGCATAACCACAAATCTAGATTTGGTTAGGTTACGGCGTTCCACTGCAGCCAAAACGGAGACTAGACACGCAAAACTACGTATTACAGCCAACAAAAACAGAATTACAAATATAAGACAACACCACTATAAAGGGAGGCTAAACACGCATGAAGCATCAGCGCACATATTTAGAATAATTCGTACATTTCTTTGCATTAACAAAGAATAAATAAGAATGGGAAGGGAATGTAGACATTTCAGTCAACGCATCTGACTTAAACTTGAAGTTTAAGGACCTTCAGCACTCTGTACTTAGGTACAATTCTGTTTCATGCATTACGGAGCGTTTTGTACGATGAACATTGTCTGATGAGTAATTATATAATAGATATAACTTTTCATTCGAATGTAGTTAAAATACAAAAGAGGAAAAAATGATGAAAATGGCAACTTTGGTTTCGTTGCTAGCAACACGACGACATCAGACAAATACAAACTTGCTTATCGTTATTGGGATTAGTAATAGCCGGGTGGTGACCTAGGAAGAAAATTCACTTAAAGAGACTCCCACTTTCAAAAAAGTTAATGAATTGGCATAAAAGTGATGTTCCGTGGTTCAGAAAGATCTAAAATGAATATCTACCAAATTTCACCCAAAAATATTTACTCTTTTTCAAGATATTAGATTTTTTGTTACCTTTTGAGACCTCCACCGCTGTTCCTACGACGTCATTTGGAAGCAATAATTTGGCATCCATAAAGTGCGGCAGATGTTGCGCACAAAGCAGCATATCAGACCGAGACACTCGCCGGCGCCATGGATCACCGAAAACGACGAGCTGCAGACCATGATGAGAGAGCGTGACTTGGCCGACGCTGAGAGACGTGCTCAGCCGGCTGACGAGCAAGCGGCCCAGCGGTACAGACTCTGTCGGAACCGAGTGAAGAGCGCCCAGATCAGCGCCAAGTCAGACTTCTTCCTGACATCTTACCGCCGGTCGCGCCGTACCACGTGGAAGGACATCAGACGCTTCCTCATCTCACCTAGAGCCGGAGCGTCTTCTGCGTCTTCATCTCCGAGTGGCCCTCGCTGGGCTGACAGACTAAACGAGTACTTCGCGTCGGTCGGCCCGAGCGTGGCCGCCGCGCTGGAGGAGGCGCAGCGCGTGACCGAGCCGCTGCCGCCGCGGCCGCCTCGCGTGGTCAGCGGCGCTTTCCGCGTCCACCCCGTGACACTGTCAGAGCTGTCAGCTGCCGTGAAACGTATGTCAGCGTCTAATGCGAGTGGTGGTGACGGTATCACGATAGGTATGCTGCGCATGACTTTCCCAGTGATAGGCCCGCATCTGTTAAAGGTCATTAACTCGTCGCTGGTGTCTGGAAAGTTACCCGCCGACTGGAAAGTGGCTCATGTCATACCGTTGCATAAGTCTGGCTCGATGGATGACCCGTCTAACTATCGTCCGCTGTCGCTCCTGTCAACTGTCGCTAAGGTCGCTGAGAGTGTTGTTTGCGGTCAGCTGATGACTTACCTGCTCACGCACAATATTCTCTCCGAGGTGCAGCACGGCTTCCGGCCCGGCCGATCCACGGAGTCGGCGATGCTGGATACTGTCAGTTTTCTCATGGATGGTCTGGATGACGGTCTCATCGGTTCTCTCACGACCGCCGACACTAGCAAGGCTTTTGACAGTGTCCAGCATCCCCGGCTCCTGGAAAAGCTGGGCTGGTACGGTATTAGCGCACACTGGTTCCGTGACTGGTTGAGTGACAGGTGCCAGATGGTGCGGGGTGGTGAGGAGGTGAAGCCAATCACCCACGGCGTGATACAGGGATCACTTTTGGGACCGATCTTATTTTGCTATTTTCAAACGATCTTGCGTCCTATGTCGACTCCAAAATAGTGATGTACGCCGATGACGTTCAGTTTTTACATCTAGCATCACCGAAGCGAATTTTAGAGCCCAAGACAGATACCGAATGTACTTTAGACATTGCGAGTCATTGGTTTGTTCAAAACTGCCTAAAAATCAACCCCAAAAAGACCGAACTGTTAGTTGTAAAATCACGTAGGAGGCAGCTTGACTTTGATTTTAATGTACTGTTTGGAGATGATGTTATTCAAACTTCCGCTAGCATTAAGGTATTGGGTGTAATTGTCGACTCTGGCTTGACCTTTGAGTCACATGTGACGGAGGTGATTCGCCGATGCTACGCCACACTAGGACTGTGTAAATCTTCGCGATGCTTACCGAAAGAAGTGAAGAAACTGATCGTTGAGATGCTGATCTTCCCCCACATCCGCTACTGTTTGTCGGTCTGGTCGGGCTGTGGCGTTGTTCAGCGTCGCCGCGTGCAGCGAGTTATTAATCACTGCGCACAGGTGGTTATGGGAGCGCGCCGCTCAGCACACGTGACTCCGCTGTTGGAGGAGCTCGGGTGGCCCCAGATAGACAAGCTTGTGGCGGAGAGTGACTGCGGTGTTGTTCACTACTTGGTTAACAATACCAGTGCGCCGAGGTGTCTCTCGGAGCGGCTCGAGCGCCGCAGTGACGTCTCTAGTAGAGAGACTCGTGCCACTGAGAGCGACCTGCTCCAGCTGCCGAAACCCCGCACCGAGCAGGCGCGGCGGTTCTTCCGGTACCGCGCCGTTGCACGCTGGAACTCACTGGCCCTGGATGTGCGTGACAGTAAAACGTCTGCTGGGTGTCGCAGGCGCTTTAGGAAGGCGCTTTAGGCTCTTATAATGTGTGATACCACGTCATGCGTGCTGTACTTTTTTTCCTTTAACATCTTTACCATTCAGCGTATATGTATTTATGTATTAAAGTACTCGGCTTTTCCGGACAGTTTCGTGACTGTATTATTGTCACTTCGTCAGCGGCATACAAGTAATATAAACATTTTCGAAATCACATTTTCAAAACACAAGTAAATAAAGCGCACTCGCTTAAATCTACACACATTTTTCATTTTGACCGGCTTCCATCCAGACAAATCCTCACATACCCTCAGGTCATCCCTATATAGCAAAAATTATTAACAATAATTGTAACCATTTGCTGTGACACAACATATGTGATACGACATAATACCAGACCGTTACAAGACAGAGCCGCCAAATGTCACTACATGACTACACCTTACAACTTACATGCAGTCACGCCTACGCCAATTTCTTATTAAGCCCACCCTGACCCCTATGCGTATTAAAAAGTCCCACCCATCTCTGTTCCCGTATTCTTCTGTATGTAACCCAATTCCTCCAAACTTTTTCTAGTCCGACAAATTTAGCGTTCGATAAGTGATGACCCTCACCATTGAAATGCGCCGCTACCTCAATTTCATTTCGCATGCAGCGTATAGACGACAGATGATTTTGAATTCTGTGATATAGGATCCCCCCTGTTTCTCCCACATAAACAACACAGTCACACACAGTACAGAATATGCCATAAATAACATTGCTCGATTTACATCCAATCGTTAAGTCGTAGGTGCACACGCCACCCCCCGTTCCCCGAATCTTCATTTGCTCTTTATACATAACCTTGCATACCACACAATTTTTTCCACAGCTTCCATGATTTCCCTCCGTTGTCTGGCTCACTCGTTTCGTTTTTTTATGCACCAAAAGATCCCCAAGATTGCATCCCCTTTTAAAAGATACAAATGCTCCTTTGTCGGCACCAAATGCGTCTTTAAGGTTATCAGAGCGCATAAGTAAATGCTTTTTACTCCTAACAATGTTCCTAATATCAGGCAAGTGACTAGAGTAAGTGACCACCAAAGGGACCCCCTTCTTGACAGACCTCCCCACCCTACCCTCCAGAGCTGCCTTTCTGTCCACATTCTTGACCCGGCTAAGTCCACTCTTAATTATAGTTTCCGGATAACCCCTATCTAAAAGATTGCGAGTGATCTCATTTGTTTGGTCCAGGAAGTCACCCTCAGAGCTGCAAATTCTCTTAGCTCTCATGGCCAGACCTGAAGGGATAGCCTTCTTAACGTGCAGCGGGTGATCAGAGAGGAAGTGGAGGTGAGCTTTTGTGTCCGTAGGTTTCGAGAATATTGTGGTGTGTAGTTTTCCTTTGTCTATAGTCACACGTACATCCAAAAACTCTATTTCAGTGGGTGAAAACCTAAGGTCTAATTTGATGTTGTCGTGGATGCTGTTGGCAAGGGTATGAAATTCCCGTAGTTTTTCTTCACCATGAAGCCAAATTCCAAAAATATCGTCTATGTATCGTAAATATAAAAAGGGTTTTAGTGTAGAAGACTCCAGTAACTTGCCCTCCCACATTCCCAAATACGTGCACGCATAGTTTCTACCTAATTTTGACCCGATAGCCGTGCCATTTACTTGAGTGTAGTGGTAGGAATTCCCAAGGCTAAAGTTATTATTATCCAAAACTAGCTCTATCATTTCGATTACTTCTGATGTGGGAATGCTCGGATTTGATCTAGAATCTAGGGCATCTCTACAGGCTGCAATACCCTCGTCTCTCGGGACACTAGGATATAATTTACTGACGTCCATACAAAAGAGCAGTGGTGTCGTCGAAACAGGTAACTGAGTTTGGCCTATTTTGTTAATAAAATCTGTAGTGTCTCTTACAAAAGAAGGCTGGTTTAAGACATGTGGTTCAAGCTGCTTTTCTGCTAGTTCGG